TTATAATGGAGTACTACAATGTTGTTGATCCATCCTCAGTTTTCTACCATCACAGACACTGAACTCTGTAGCTGTTTTAAAATCACCAATGGCCTCATGGTAACATCCCTGAGCCATTTCATTCCTGTCCTAAAGCTCAGTTAAGAAGGACGACTGTATCTTTGATGTGTCTGGGTGGTTTAATATATAATCCACAGCATAATTATTAACTTGATCATACTTAAAGATATATTCAATGTCTGATTTGTTGTTGTTACCCATCTACCAATCACTGCCATTCTTTATGAGGCTTTCGAAAAGCTCCCTGGTCTTTGTAGTTTTAGCTCTGCTTGAAATGCAATACTTGACTGAGGGTCCGTACAGATGTTGTATATATGGGGGACAGAGGAAGGGTTAGTAATTCAAAAATCATGTCAACATCTATTATTTCAAACAGACTGAGTACATGTAACTTATTATGTGATTTGTTAAGCAATATTTTACTCCTGAACTAATTTAGGCTTGCCTAAAAAAACGGGGTTGAATACTTATGCAATAACTATATTTTAGTTATGTAATACATACAGTATATATACTTTTTCTTCCACTTTGACATTACAGAGTATTTTGTGTAGATTGATGGCAAAAAAAATACAATTAAATCTATTTTAATCCCACTTTGTAACACAATAAAATGTGAAGAAATCCAAGGGTTCTGAATAGTTTTGCAACTTTTAAGGCATCTCCTCATGAGCAATTTTTTTATTTCACCTTTATTTAACCAGGTAGGCCAATTGAGAGTTCTAATTTACAACTGCGACCTGGCCAAGATAAAGCAAAGCAGTGCGATAAAAACAACAACAACACAGAGTTACACATGGGATAAACAAAACATACAGTCAATAACACAATAGAACATCTATATACAGTGTGTGCAAATGTTGTAAGTTATGGAGGTAAGGCAATAAATAGGCCATAGTGCAAAATAATTACAATTTAGTATTAATACTGGAGTGATGGATGTGCAGAAGATGATGTGCCCCGTGTAGCTCAGTTGGTAGAGCATGGCGCTTGCAACGCCAGGGTTGTGGGTTCGATTCCCACGGGGGAAAAGTATGCGCTCACTAACTGTAAGTCGGTCTGGATAAGAGCGTCTGCTAAATGACTAAAATGTAAATGTAAATGTGCAAATAGAGATACTGGGTTGCAAATGAGCACAATAAATAACAATATGGGGATGAGGTAGTTGGGTGGGCTAATTTCAGATGGGCTGTGTACAGGTGCAGTGATCGATAAGCTGCTCTGACAACTGATGCTTAAAGTTAGTGAGGGAGATAAGAGTCTCCAGCTTCAGAGATTTTTGCAGTTCGTTCCAGTCATTAGCAGCAGGGAACTGGAAGGAATGGCGGCCAAAGGAGGTGTTGGCTTTGGGGATGACCAGTGAGATATACCTGCTGGAGCACATACTACGGTTGGGTGTTGCTATGGTGACCAATGTGCTAAGATAAGGCGGGGATTTGCCTAGCAGAGATTTATAGATGACCTGGAGCCAGTGGGATTGGCGACGAATATGTAGTGAGGGCCAGCCAACTAGAGCATACAGGTCACAATGGTGGGTAGTATATGGGGCTTTGGTGACAAAACGGATGGCACTGTGATAGACTACATCCAATTTGCTGAGTAGAGTGTTGGATGCTATTTTGTAAATGACATCGCCGAAGTCAATGATCGGTAGGATAGTCAGTTTTACAAGGGCATGTTTGGCAGCATGAGTGAAGGAGGCTTTGTTGCGAAATAGGAAGCCGATTCTAGATTTAACTTTGGATTGGAGATGCTTAATGTGAGAGTTTATGGTCTAACCAGACACCTAGGTATTTGTAGTTGTCCACATATTCTGAGTCAGCCCCGCCAAGAGTAGTGATTCTAGTCGGGCGGGCGGGTGCAAGCAGCTTTCGATTGAAGAGCATGCATTTAGTTTTACTAGCGTTTAAGAGCAGTTGGAGGCTACGGAAGGAGTGTTGTATGGCATTGAAGCTTGTTTGGAGGTTTGTTAACCCAGTGTCCAATGAAGGGCCAGATGTATACAAAATGGTGTCGTCTGCATAGAGGTGGATCTGAGAGTCACCAGCAGCAAGAGCAACATCATTGATATACACAGAGAATAGAGTCGGCCCGAGAATTGAACCCTGTGGCACCCCCATAGAGACTGCCAGAGGTCCAGACAACAGGCCCTCCGATTTGACACATTGAACATCTATCTGAGAAGTAGTTGGTGAACCAGGCGAGGCAGTCATTTGAGAAACCAAGGCTATTTAGTCTGCCAATAAGAATGCGGTGATTGACAGAGTCAAAAGCCTTGGCCAGGTCGATGAAGACGGCTGCACAGTACTGTTTTTTATCGATCGCGGTTATTATATCGTTTAGGACCTTGAGCGTGGCTGAGGTGCACCCATGACCAGCTCAGAAACCAGATTGCATAGTGGAGAAGGTACGGTGGGATTCGAAATGGTCGGTGATCTGTTTGTTAACTTGGCTTTCAAATACTTTCGAAAGGCAGGGCAGGATGGATATAGGTCTGTAACAGTTTGGATCTAGAGTGTCACCCCCTTTGAAGAGGGGGATGACCGCGGCAGCTTTCCAATCTCTGGGGATCTCAGATGATACGAAAGAGAGGTTGAACAGGCTAGTAACAGGGGTTGCTACAATCTCTGTGGCTAATTTTAGAAAGAAAGGATCCAGATTGTCTAGCCCAGCTGATTTGTAAGGGTCCAGATTTTGCAGCTCTTTTAGAACATCAGCTATCTGAATTTGGATGAAGGAGAAGCGGGGGGGGGGGCATGGTCAAGTTGCAGCGGAGGGTGCAGAGCTGGTGGGTGGGGTAGGGGTAGCCAGGTGGAAAGCATGGCCAACCGTTCTCGATTATCTTAGATTTATCGGTGGTAACAGTGTTTCCTAGCCTCAGTGCAGTGGGCAGCTGGGAGGAGGTGCTCTTATTCTCCATGGAGTTTACAGTGTCCCAAAACTTTTTGGAGTTAGTGCTACAGGATGCAAATTTCTGTTTGAAAAAGCTAGCCTTTGCTTTCCTAACTGATTGTGTATATTTGTTCCTGACTTCCCTGAAAAGTTGCATATCGCGGGGGCTGTTCGATGCTAATGCAGTACGGCACAGGATGTTTTTGTGCTGGTCAAGGGCAGTCAAGTCTGGGGTGAACCAGGGGCTATATCTGTTCTTAGTTCTGACTTTTCTGAATGGGGCATGCTTATTTAAGATGGAGACGAAAGCACTTTTAGAGAACAACCAGGCATCCTCTACTAACGGAATGAGGTCAATATCCATCCAGGATACCCGGGCCAGGTCAATTAGAAAGGCCTGCTCGATGAAGTGTTTTAGGGAGTGTTTGACAGTGATGAGGGGTGGTCGTTTGACCGTGGACCCATTACGGACGCAGGCAATGAGGCAGTGATCGCTGAGATCCTGGTTGAAGACAGCGGAGGTGTATTTAGAGGGTAAATTAGTCAGGATGATATCTATGAGGGTGCCCATGTTTACGGATTTAGGGTTGTACCTGGTAGGTTCCTTGATAATTTGTGTGAGATTGAGGGCATCTAGTTTAGATTGTAGGACGGCCGGGGTGATAAGCATATCGCAGTTTAGGTCACCAAGCAGGACGAACTCTGAGGATAGATGGGAGGCAATCAATTCACATATGGTGTCCAGGGCACAGCTGGGGGCTTGGGGGGGCAGGGGGTCTGTAGCAAGCGGCAACAGTGAGAGACTTATTTCTGGAAAGGTGGATTTTTAGAAGTAGAAGCTCAAACTGTTTGGGCACAGACCTGGATAGTATGATAGAGCTCTGCAGGCTATCTCTACAGTAGATTGCAACTCCGTCCCCTTTGGCAGTTCTATCTAGACGGAACACTTTGTAGTTGGGGATGGACATTTCAGAGTTTTTGGTGGCCTTCCTAAGCCAGGATTCAGATACTGCTAGAACATCAGGGTTGGCGGAGTGTGCTAACGCAGTGAATAACTCAAACTTAGGGAGGAGGCTTCTGATGTTAATATGCAAGAAACCAAGGCTTTTACGGTTACAGAAGTCAACAAATGATAGCGCCTGGGGAGTAGGAGGGGGGCTACAGGGCCTGGGTTACTGGGGGCTACAGGGCCTGGGTTACTGGGGGCTACAGGGCCTGGGTTAACCTCATGAGCAACACGTGTCCCATATGGACCTACTACCTCGGCCCATTACAATTTCCAGAAATTAGACTTTTTGTCCCCCAGCTTATTTTGAACAAGCATATCTCCTGTCCCTTTTGAGCTACAGTCATGACATTTTGTACATATATGCATCTCCTCATGATAAATCCAGTTTTATATCAGTGCATCTCCCTATCAAGCAGTCCGATATCTGACATTCCGTCCATTGTGAGCTATCAAGTTTTGATTTCCAGCTAGGGAAAAAATACTTGATTGTTTTTTTATCTTTCTCATTAATCCATGCAACATACATTTGAATAATTGTCACTAATTGTCACTAATTGGCCCAAGGGGGGGCGCTGCATCATTCGTGGGGGATAACATGTTTACTGTTGCCTTGTTACTGTGTGTTGTTAAAGGCAACTAGAAGGGGGAAGGGTCATTAAATGCCATGCATGTCAGGAACAGCATTACCCATCAGGTCCAATACACATAAACTCTCAGCAGCGTATGAAGGGACAGTACTGAGACCATAGAAATGGAATCAAATAGAGTAGAATGACAGTGCTCAAACCCCAGAAGGAAACCTGTTAGCACAAGACTGGGGTTGTGTCCCAATTCCAAATTGCACCATATTCCCTATATAGTATGCACTACTTTTGACCGGGGCTCTTACCTCAATGAAGGATGAACCTTGGTTTCCAATCGCCCCCAAGAGTCTCTGCAATGGGTAACAGATAGACAAGAAAATGACAATATCAGCAAATACGTGCTTGTTAAAGACTGCACGTCAATGGTAAATAAGCAATGTAATCATAAAGTTACATTACATGATGGAGATAGATACTGTAGACAAAAAATCTGAACATTTATGATGGACTAATTAATATTAGCATATTTAGTTAAGGCACAGTCTAATAAACCACTTAGCAATGTCATCAAAGCTGTTGTGTGCCCTGATGTAGTTGACTGAGCTGAACTGTAAGTGTGTGAGAAGAAGACAGTTGTGTGTGGCGTCAGAGTTGTCCTGCCCATAGGGGGCACAAGGGCACATGCCCCCTCAGATTTGTCCTGTTTAAAAATAATAATCCCTTATATTATTTTTTTTAATGTTTTGTTGTTTCTCTGTAATACTACTAGCCACCTTACAAAGTTGGCGTTAGCTAACCCAGATAGGTTCCCAATCTCCCAACCTCATGACTAGCTACCAAGAAGCCATTTCAGGCTATCAATCAAGTTAGTTGTCTAACCATAGATGGCGCGTCCAGCTTCCACTAAAGTAAATTGAATTGCCAAAGTTATATAGCCTAATAAGCCTACTCCTGTCTATACAGAAATAAATGAAATCATTAAAAATAGGCTACTACACCAGAAAGCATGATTTGGCCACAGAGGATCATTAGCTTCTTTTTTATTTTTTATTAAAAATTGTTTTAAATCACAATGCCTACAGTCGCAATTTGGGCAGCGCGTGCGGCAAATACCAAATTATATGATTGTTGAGTTGCAACTGTCAATGAAAAGTAGGGCCCATCCAGGTATATCGCAATATTTCAAAATACAATAGCAGGAAAACAGTTTGGAAAGCAAATGGCTATTGCTGTAAAGAGAAGACAATGAAAATACTCTGTCTTTTAGTTATCAAAATTCTCATCTTAATTGAGCAAACAGTGTAGCCTATCTTAGTGGTGCCACTGGAGAGCATTGGCCATGTCAACGGTGAGTGCGCATATTCACTCTTTATCATTGTTGGGTCAGTGCCACTTGAAAGACAATAATTTCCTCCTCCAGGATAGATGGACGTCATATTGTATTTGTCTCCCCTTCTCATAGGCATATTAGATGGATCAACGTCGTTTTTATTGATCTGTTTGTCAGTGTCAGCGGACAAGATTCTGCTAATATCTCCAGTCATTTGAAGTGTAGAATTGCATGAAATGTGTTTCTAAAAAGCCACATTTTTCCCGTGCAAAGAAAGGAGAAGAAATGTATCTGATATAGCCTATAGCCTAGGTCTGCTGTAGGCACTACCCATCACATTAGGAATAGTAGGCTCAATAACGGTTCACCCAATATGGATGAAAATACCCTCAAATTAAAGCTGACAGTCTGCACTTTAACCTCATAGTCATTGTATCATTTCAAATCCAAAATGCTGGAGCATAGAGCCAAAACATCAGAAAATGTGTCACTGTCCCAATATATGTACGCTTCTTTTGTGTTAATCCCATTTACAGTAGCATATATAGCTAACCGACTCTGTATTTCTGTCACTTTGTTTTGTTTTGTTTGTTTCCTAATCCCAAAATTGGCAGATAAAGAAAGCAGATAAGGAGGATTTGTAGGGGACTTACGCAAGGAGACCTCCTGGAGCAGACATGGACCTCTCTGCCTTCCTGTTGTGACACTCAAAGGGGTTACTAAAAGACCTCTTCCTCAGCATGGACTTCACCAGGATCTAACGTGGGGAGAGTGAGTGTCACAGGGTGCATCTCAAATGACAACCTATTATCTATAGTGCACTACTTTTGACCAGAGCCCTATAGGCCCTGGTCAAAAGTAGTGCACTATATTGGGAATAGGGTACCATTTGGGACACATATTCACTCTAGCAATATGCCTTATGACAACATTTTTCCCTGACCATGTGTCTCGACCTGGAAAAACTCTGGGCCCTCAAGTATTTCCTGGTATAGGTCCCAGACTTTTTCCCTTGTTAAGACACAGAACCTCCTGACCCTATTTGTTAGTAAGTAAGCCTTGTCCAAGCCAGAACAAGAGCTGTACGTTCCCTGGACAGGACGCCAGTGAATTGACTCACCACAGCAGACAGACTGGGGATGAGTTTGATGGAGTTCTGGACCTCCTCCTCAGTGACCTCCACCACAGTGCAGTGTTCCTCCTCCAGGGGTAGAAGGTCAGTGCCATCCTCCGTCACCCACGGGTGCTCCTGGCAACACACAGCAGGAGGAGGACAGTAGTCCCACAACACACATGAGACAGCTCTACCAGGACAGTAACAAAATTAATTTGAAGTGTCAAAGATGGTTTCATGAAGGATTTGTTTTTTAAAGGCACCATTGAAGGTCTAGCTCTGCCCCCTTTCACCTTGATTTCAGGAATGGTGATCCTTGTATCAGGATTTTTATCCAGCATCCTTATAATAAGCTCCTTCAACTCCTCGAATACTTCAGGCCTGTGGTACCAAAGAGGGACTGATATGACCACCCACCAAATAGAATAGAACCATCTACAGTACAGTAACTACAGTAGCAGGGAATGGCTAGGAACGTTAAAACAATACTATTACTATGGTATTATCAAGTGATTACATGCTATAATGTGACGTTCTACCCATATTTTAGAGTGGTGCATAGAGTGCAGACTAAATTGCTTTTACATGGTAAATAGTGTCCCTTAGTGGAACTCACGTGTCTGGGAACTCCACAGGACTATTCCTGATCTTATTGTGCAGGCCGATGATGTATTCATCGATGAAAGGGCACTGAGATAGGAAGGTAGTGAAGAAAAAACATGAAAATGCTGCTATAAAAAGATGGGCTACATGCATACACATGCTGTCTGTTTCCCACATAAACCATTACATTTATTGATTTTAGAAGCATTATTATGTGAGATGCAACGGTAGAGCAAACAATATTTGTAGTCATCAGTATAATGGACACAGTAAATCAGATGAGAAACCAGTGGGCCAAAATTATCCATGGCAGAATACTGTACATTATGATAATAACAGAACCTACCTTCCCATAGACAAAGCAGTACAGGGTGACTCCCATGGCCCACACATCCAAGGCCTAACAATCATGAACATTGACCATTACTTTACAAAGAGAGCTTGCTGTATATTTTACAGTACAATAAAATGTTGACGTTTGATACCAGGTCAATTTCTAAGTATTTTTGATACCAGTCAATGCAATAAATGTTCATGGGGTAAATATTATTTCTAGGATATAATCAAAGATGAATGATCTGATTAGATAAATTAGCGATTAGTGTCTAACCTTGCCAGTAAAGCTCTGTTCATGGTCAGTCATCATCTCTGGGGCCATGAAGGCTGGAGTCCCTGCTGAGCTGGACAGGAGAGCATCACTCCCCTCAAACTGGTTACTGACACCAAAGTCTGCAATCTTCACATGCCCATTGTCTCCCAGCAACAGGTTGGAAGGCTTGATGTCTCTGTGGATGATCTTCTGGTAGTGCACTGAGAGGGAGGAAGAGAGAATGGGACCAGGGGAAAAGGACAGGAGACACTGATTAGCTCTTTTTTTTAGATCAACTTTTATAAGTATATAAACAGCAGACCGAGTGATTTAGGTCTTGATATTCAGCTGTCAAAGCACCAACTGATCCTGTCTTTTCAGAACATATCTGACTAGTGACTTTCAAAACAATGTTTTGCTAAAGCGTGAGCAGGGTTAGCAGTATGCTGCAGGTCTCTGAGCAGAAGGCTAGTAGGCCCTAAGTCCCAAATGGCACCCTATTCCCTATATATAGTAGTGCACTACTTTTGACCTGAGCCCTATGGGCCATGGTCAAATGTAGTGCACTACTGTATATAGGGAATAGGGTGCCATTTGGGACGTAATCCAGGTGGAGGACTCACAGTATTCAATCCCCAGGATGATGTCTCTGAAGTAGAAGCGGGATTGTTCCTCTGTGAAGGGAGTGTCTGAGGGCACCTCCATCACTGGGCTAGGGCCCAGGATCAGCAACAAAGTGGCAAAGGTAAGTAAGCATCACCACCATAATCTTCCAAACAGTGGTCTTCCTACCACTAACAATACCTGAACCTTGTCATTGGTATCTTATATACCCTTAAGAATTGATACCTTATATTCACCAAATTCAATAACTGGTGGAGTTATATATAAATAACCAAATTCATCATTTCAGTGTTATATACAGTATAATAATATAATAATAATAATAATAATAATAATAATAATAATAATAATAATAATAATATAAGCCATTTAGCAGATGCTTTTATCAAAGTGATTTACAGTCATGCGTGCTTACATTTTAGATATGGGTGGTCCCGGGAATCAAACCCACTACCCTGGCGTTACAAGCGCCATACTATACCAACTGAGCTACAAAGGACCAGTGTTTTAATGTAATGCAATACAGTACATTTCAGAAAGGGGTAAAACTTACCCTTTTGGCATTAACTCAAAGGCTAGAAAATAAACAAACAGAAAATGAAATGACTAGTCAGAGCTCACATTAGTTTTTATGTAATAAACAAACTGGATAGACTGTATTATAATGTACAAACTATGGACCTAGTACAAGGAGATACCGCAGAAAACATACATTTACCACATAACACCTTATATCACCATTCAGTGCACTGACATGATGAATGCATACTTACCCATGTGGAGATTGTCTTCAGCAGGATCATCAAGAACCTACAATTGGAAAGTGTAAATCTCTGAAATTAATAAGTAGTAATAGTAGAACCTTTTAAATCTTCCACTTATGTATGTCAATGTGTTCACCTCCACCAGATGGACAATGTTAAGGTGATCTAGTTTCTTCAGGATGGCGATCTCTTGGTAGACTCTCTCCAGTGGCCCCAGGGGTTTGGGTGGCAGTCCCTGTTCTGTGCTGGCTCCTCGAGGAGGGGGACGTCCTATAACCAACCGCCATTATATATAGTGGTGATCATCACCAGTTCATGTTCATACCGGTACTATAGCACATACTAAAGACATAAAAGGAAAAATTTCACCTACGAGGAAATCCACACATCTTCATCAGCTTCTTTTTGGAAAAAACTTTCATTGCCTATGCAAGGAAAGATATGATCAGTTTGCTCCTATGGTATAAGAGTCAATAAGGCCAAAACAGAGAGTAGAGGAACTGTACATTTCTCTGCTCCCACAAAGGAGATGATAAAGAACGGAATGTGCAGAGCTGAAGAGATTCTTACATAGTATTGTTCATCATCTTCATTGTAAGCTAATCTCACCACCCCATATGAGCCCTAGAATAGAAAAAGAAGGAAGTCTGACAGAATCGTTTTAAATTATTGCGCAAGAATGCTTTATGAAATAATTGTTTCTCTTGTCAGACAAATTCAGCATCTAGTTTTGATATAACGTTTTGTATTCTAACTTTTCTTGCCTTTCCAATCTCATCCTTCAACTTGTATTGATTGAGCTGGATACAATCCTAGGGTGAGACAAAGTGAAGGGTATTTGGTGGTGGGATATTGCACATTGACTACACATTATTTAGGACTCATGCCTATTTCTTTTGAGACTTCATGGATGGGTCCTAAATGGCACCCTATCCTCCATATACTGCGTCCCGAATGGCACCCTATTCCCCTATGGGCCCTTGTCAAAAGTAGTACACTATATAAGGAATAGGGTGCCATTTGGGACACAGCCCTGACCTCCATTTGGGACACAGCCCTGACCTCTGACCTGGGAATCTGAGATGGACACCCGCTTGGACTCGATGGTGGGCTGTCGGGCCTCTCGCGGCTGGGTCGATCGCTCCTGCAATGATAGCTTCCTGTCTGACAATGACAGCTTCCGGCGCGCTGGTGCAGGGGGCCTTCGGTGGCCGTTGGGAGGGGTCATCCGGTTGGATGCCACGTTCATGGCGGCCACCATGTCAGCCAGCTCTACATTGTGCTCAGAGTCCAGCTCTGCCAGCTCTGCCAGTCCATCAGTGTCTTCACTCATGGCTGTCCCTGTTCCAGTCCCGGTTCAATCACAGAGAAAGGTCAGAGATGTCATAGGGGCCAGCTAATTAGATAATTATCATTAAATCATACATTTTAGCCAACATTCACTAGCGTTCTGTACTTGTACATCAAGCTGCTTCTCGCTACAGAAACAGGAGATTCTGCCTTAGAGATTCTGCCCTCAGACAAGGCTTACTTACATTTTAGTCATTTAGCAGACGCTCTTATCCAGAGCGACTTACAGTTAGTGAATACATATTTTTTTTATACTGGCCCCCCGTGGGAATCAAACCCACAACCCTGGCGTTGCAAACGCCATGCTCTATCAACTGAGCTACATCCCTGCCGGCCATTCCCTTCCCTACCCTGGGCCAATTGTGCGCCGCCCATGAGTCTCCCGGTCGCGGCCGGCGGCGACAGAGCCTGGATTCGAACCAGGATCTCTAGTGGCACAGTTAGCACTGTGATGCAGTGCCTTAGACCACTGCGCCACTCAGGAGTACTTAACCAACATTCAACTGTAACATCTCCCTGATATGGGAGACCACACTCACCTGGCTTTCCAACTTTTAATATTGAAAATGTTTTCCAAATGCTATTTTGTAGAATTAAGACATGCACATTAAGTAGAAATAGCTTATTATTTAACAGGGTAAGTAAGCAAAAAAACGGTATGTCAATTGAATTAAGTGTAATTGGCTTGAACATTTCTACAGGTACAATACAAAACTAAATGACTGTGACTTTTCATGGAAATAATACGTCTAAATGCATCATAGATGACAACCACCTGAGCTCTGCTGCCTACCGATTCCTGTCAACACAAATAGCACTAACTGCAAATCCCTCCCAAATCCACCACTAAAACGTTCACACCCACACAAATCGGATTTTCTGCAGCAAATTCATTCAACATAGCAAATGACATAAAGGAAGCATATTCATATTATGGCTGTTTTACTTACACACAGCTTGAGGATCCTACATTGCCTGTCAGTGTGGATAAGCTGCAGGATATGTCCTGCTGATGTTTAAGTTAGGAAAACCCCTTTGTGTCTCAGGTCAGGACTTTCACTGCTGAGCCAAGGACTACAGGATTACTCCAGCCTTAACGATAAACCCTGGCCGTATTTAGCCTCAATAAAGTTATTCTGAGTGTGGCAGTCAGTGTATACATTGATAAACTCCACCCCTGGGCCAAAGCAACAGGGGATAAAGGTGATTGGACTTTAGGAGTCATTGGGACATTAGGTCTGTGTCCCAAATGGCACCCTATTCCCTACATAGTGCACTACTTTGACCAAACACCTATGGGCTCTGGTTAAAAGTATTGTACTATATAGGGAATATGGTACCATTTGGGACACATACTAGGAGTTACGGCCAGGAAACAGTTAGATCAGCCCTAATGGAGACAGGAGATTGATGTTAGGAAAACCACAGGAAGGGAAGGAGGACCAGTGATGGTGGAACAACCTTCTAATCTGTCTGTGATTTCTAGGAGAGTTGAGTGCCCAGGAAGTTCTTAAGCTTGCTATTTACCTCAGAACAAATTGGCTCAAGTGTTACATAAAACACTGAACATAGAATACCTGAAGTTTCCAACACTGAACATAGAATACCAATCAACCAGAAATTATTGAAGATATTGTTTGTTTGGATGACTGCTAATACAAAACAATAAAATTGTATCAAAATATTTGAAATATATTGCAGCGGGACGACACCTGCCTCGGGGACGACCACAGGGACGCGGTGCGGGTCGGTCAGGGTGCCGACGGTGAAAATCACTGGTCAGTGAAGAGTCCAGGATGTCCACTGCAGGAACCCAGCACCACTCCTCTGGGCCGTACCCCTCCCAGTTGATGAGGTACTGGAGACGCCACACCCGACGCCTCGAATCCAGGACTTCACGTACCGAGTACGCCGGACCTCCCTCGATGGCCAGAGGAGGAGGCAGGGCGTCACTGGGTCCAGCCTCAGCGAGGGGACCAGGCACCACTGGCCTGAGGAGAGATGCATGAAAAGCCGGGTTAATGCGGTAATCAACAGGGAGTTGCAAACGGTACGTTACCTCATTAACCCTCCTCAGGACTTTAAACTGCCCCACAAACTGCGGGCTCAGTTTCCGGCAGGGCAAGCGGAGGGGCAGGTTCTGGGTGGAGAGCCAGACCGGTCGCCTGGAGAGAAAATCAGGCGCCTCACTGCAGTGGAGGTCGGCCTGATCCTTGTGCCGACGCACGGCCCGCTGGAGGCGAGTTTACCACAGGGGCGTGTTCCAGATCTCCTCAGCGCGCCGAAACCACTCGTCCACCACAGGGGCCTCAGTCTGGCTCAGATGCCAAGGTGCCAGGGCCGGCTGATACCCCAGCACGCACTGGAAAGGAGTGAGGTCTACGCATACTCAGCCCAAGGTAGAAAATCCACCCACTCCCCCGGCCGGTCCTAACAGTGACACCTCAGGAACCTGCCCACTTCCTGATTGACCCTCTCCACCTGCCCATTAGCTTGAGGACGGTACCCGGAGGTGAGACTGACTGTGACCAGGCGTTCCATGAACGCCTTCCATACGCGTGAGGTGAACTGAGGACCACGGTCTGACACATTGTCCTCCGGGATCCCGTAGTGCCGGAAGACATGCGTAAAAAGAGCCTCCGCAGTTTGCATGGCCGACGGGAGCCCAGGCAGAGGAAGGAGGCGACAAGCTTTGGAAAACCGGTCCACAACGACGAGAATGGTGGTGTTCCCCTGGGAGGGGGGAAGGTCAGTGACAAAGTCCACCGAGAGGTGGGACCAGGGTCGTTGTGGAACCAGCAGGGGAAGGAGCTTTCCATAAGGGAGGTGTCTGTGTGTCTTAGACTGGGCACAGATGGAGCAGGAAGAGACGTAAACCCGGACATCCCTAGCCAAGGTGGGCCACCAGTACTTCTCAGTCAGGCAGGCGATGGTACGGCCTATCCCAGGATGACCCGACACAGGCGCGGTGTGTGCCCAGGAAAGGAGGTGGTCCCGCACACCCGTGGGCAGGTCGGTCGCGGATCTCCGGGCACTGTGCAGGTGCGGGTTCCGTACGCAGGGCCTGCCGTATATTGACATCCACGTCCCACACCACTGGCGCGATGATACGGAATGGAGGGACGATTGGGTTCTCCTCTACCTGCCTCTCCTCTGCATCATAGAGGCGAGACAGGGCGTTCGCCTTCACAAGTGTGACTTGGAACCTGGCGAAGAATAGAGCCCACCTGGCCTATCTCAGGTTTAGCCTCTTCGCTGCCCTGATGTACTCCTGGTTTCGGTGGTCCGTCCACAACAGAAAATGGTGTTTGGTCCCCTCCAGCCAATGCCTCCACGCCTTCAGAGCCTTCTTGACCGCCAAGAGTTCCTGGTCCCCTACGTCGTAGTTCCTCTGGGCGGGGGGCTCAGCTGCTTGGAGTAGAAGGCGCAGGGGCGCAGTTTTGGAGGGGTTCCGGTGCGCTGGGACAGCAATGCCCCGACTCCTACATCGGAGGCATCCATCTCGACGATGAAGGGGAGTGAGGGGTCGGGATGTGCCAGCATGGGAGCAGTGGTGAAGCGTGCCTTCAGCGTCTCGAACGCCCTCTCCGCCGTCCAACGAAGCCGCTAGGGACCCCAGGTATCGCTGGATTGCTTTCGCAGAGTTGGGGATGCGCCATGACCTGACTGCGCTGACGCGTTGCTCCTCCATCTCCACTCCCTCCGTGGATATGAGGTAGCCCAAAAAGGACACCGACCGCTGGAAAAACAAACATTTATCTTGTTTAACATAGAGATTATGCTCCAACAGTCTTCCCAGCACAGACCTGACTAACAAGACATGCTGGGCTCGGTCAGCAGAATAGACCAAAATGTAATCTATATAAACTACTACACCCCGTCCAAGCATATCCCGAAACACTTTGTTAATAAAGGCCTGGAAGACTGAAGGAGCATTAGACAGGCCAAAGGGCATTACAAGATACTCATAATGCCCCGTGGTCGTGGAAAAGGCTGTTTTCCATTCGTTGCCTGCACGAATGCACACCAGATTGTAGGCGCTCCTCAAGTCCAGTTTCGTGAAGTACTGCGCCCCGTGCATTTGTTCGATGATGGTTGGGATGAGGGGTAAAGGATAGCTGAACTTAACGGTGGCTTTGTTCAGTGTTCGATAATCAACACAGGGGCGCAGTCCCCCATCTTTCTTCTTAACAAAAAATAAGCTTGAGGAGGCTGGTGACATAGAGATGGATAAAACCCTGCTGGAGGCTCTCCTGTACGTAGCACTCCATGGCCTCGGTCTCCGCGTAGGAGAGGGGATAGATGTGTCCTCTCAGGAGGACTGCGTCAGACAGCAGGACAATGGCACAGTCCCAGGGGTGATGAGGAGGCAGTTGTGTAGCCTGGGTCTTAGAGAAAACCCGTTCCAGATCCTGGTATTCCTCCGGTAAATCCACTTGAGTGGCATGGTCCGAATTTTCCACCGTAGCGATGTTGACAGACACCGCAAGACACCTCCCCTGACACTCCTGCAACCAACCCAGATTCCTCCTACGCTCTGCCTCGGGCAAACGTGCAGAGCCCACCTCCATCTGCTCTGGCCACGGAGCAGGTGTAGCCATGGGCTCTGGATTCCGCACCGGTCTTCGTCGGGACCGCAGGAGGTTGTCCAACTGGATCGCCATGCTGATAAGCTGGTCGATTGACAGGTTGTCATCAAGACAGGCTAAATCCTTCTGTACCTCCTCCTGCAGTCCGCTGCGGAAAACGGTGACCAGAGCCGACTCGTTCCATCTGGTGGAGGCCGCGATGGTCTGGTACTCCAGGGCGAACTCTGAGGCAGTCCTAGATCCCTGGCGTAGACGCTCACCCTCCTCTTGGCCCTCCACAGGATGATCAAACACTTAGCGGAAGAGGAGGGTGAAGCGCTCGTAGGACTCGACCTCGGGTCTACCCGTTTCCCAGACCGCGGCATCCCAGTCCAGGGCCCTTCCGGTCAGTGCA